ATCCTTGTTAGAACTAGTAGAAGGTGAGGCCCATCCTTTATTGATTTGAAATGGTGAGGGAAGGAGGAAGTAAATCTAGCCATTGAGTATGATGGGCATGAGCCACGAGTTAGGAAAAGATGAGGATATTAGAGAAACACAGAGCACATAACAAAAATCCAAATACTGCAAGTTGGTGGGTAAGAAAAATAAAACTGTGGAAAAGCGTACTATAGAGAATTGATTATTGGTCTCCTGGCCTGGCAGCTTTCTTACCACATTACCTGGCTGTGGTCTGAGGTGCTATTGAAGGACCTGTTTATGGCTTTAACTGGTTTGTATGTCATCCTAGAAAAACCACTTTATCCATGATGTTAAATAGTATAAGAGACTAGGAGACTCCTTTTTTTCCCTTTCACCTTTCTTTCCTGAAACAGTAATTGTTTTTTCTTAATCTTACCAGCTGTTTTCAGCATGCTTTCTAGATAACATATATCATTTGTCATGTACCAGTTTCTAGTAACTTTTTTGAGGGGGAGTGGGGTTGGGTTACTTGACCATTTGAATCCAGTGTAGTACAACTGGGTGCTGGTCCACCTAGATGTACTTCAGAAGAAAAGCCTGGTGATCCACTTCTGAAAAATCAGTCATCAGAAACCCTAGGGAGGACAGCCAATGGGAAATCCTCCTGAGTTGGAATCAACTGAATGGCAACTGGTTATGTTACTGTGACCTTTAGTCATACCATGTTTTCTACAACGAAACTGCCATGATTTCCTAGTCGTTTTGAAGGAGAAACTAAAGCACATGGTCATGGCCTTGGCTTTGGAAAAGATGTCAAAAATAGGAACAGAAGCTAGACCATTTGAGACACTCTGCCAAACTTCCGTGCTTCGCCCGTGGTGTGTAAACTATTTTTAGTCTGGACTCTCTCTCCATGAAGTCTGACTTGGAAGTCCAGTATTCTCCAAGTTCATAGGGTATTGGTTGAAGCTGGCAGGGTTTCAGCTACCTGGTCCAAGGGTTCTTGTCCTTTTGGCTTCTTTGGGCCTATTTTTCTCTCTTCCTCAGGAGCTCTTAACTTTGCGGTCCCTGTCACAGGTAAAGATTCTACGCCATCAGCCCCCATGTTAGCAGTAAGAATGTGGTTTGCGAGGATTTGCTCACTGACTCACAAAGTTGTAATAACTGACTACAAAAAGAACCAAGTCTGAGAGATCGCACGTCTGTAAAAATGCGCTGCCTCCTCCCCAGCTTGGGTTTCAACAGCTTGCATAGCAGTGTGTTTGTGCTGACGTTCAGTGTTTGAGTCGATGAAGGGGCAGGATCTGTGTGTCTGCTGTGGTTGCTGACACTGCTTTTTGCTGAGACAAAGAGTAGTGGTTGAAATGGAGCTTACAGTAAAGAACATACTTCAACCTGTAATCTGTAGACATTTCTTTGAATTCACTGAGACTTGGGTAAGGGCACCTTTCCCCTGCACACTTAGTTGCAGCCCTTGATATCAGTGTGATGACGATACGCCCACTCCTCATTCATTGACTGGGTTAGGTTCTAAAGACCAGGTCATTATGAGAAAATCAGAGTTATGAAGGAATGGAGGATGACCACATCCGATGGTCATAGAGGATGACTACATCATTACTTAACTGCTAAATCGTGTAGTTATGTGACTGCCAACTTGAATCATCACATAACTTGAAAACCACTGAGAGTCATGGCCCAACCAAGCTGACATACCTAACCTCTTAACCACACATTGCAGTGTTACTCTGGTCTTGCTCCTCAGGGTTTGTTACTGCCAGATGTAGATTGTCAATGTGCAAAATAACTGGATGGTAGATTTTTTTACTATTGCTATAGATGTGAAATCTCAGATAATACAATACAATACAATACAATAGTGAAGAGCGAGTGGGCGTGCTTTTATTTACCCAGACTTGGTTCTTTTTTCAATTGTTTCTTCCCCTCGAAGTGTTTAATTCCACATGATTCCTCATTTACACAAGGCCACATTCTCCTATTGCTTTCCTCTCTACGTATTTAAAAGGATCTCAAGAAATGTGGCATTCTCTGTGAGATTGGGGTCAAATTGACAGTTTCACCACTTCATTTCTTTATTTGGATTCCTGCTTAACAGTTCCTCAAGGTCTGAAGACATTTAAAACTGTTACTTAGAACAAGAGGAGCCAAGCTTTACTCGGGTGGGGGGGGGGCGGGGGGAAACCAACCGTCTCTTTGCTCTGCATTTGGAGGGGCTCTGCACTGCCAGGCAGGCCAGAGGAGAAGGGTGTAAGCCAATGAAGCAGCCTTGGGGCTGTGCTGTGGCCTCAGGGCACTGACTGTCAGGCTTGTTGGGATCTCTTGGAGGAGGCTGAGCTGTTGAATGATGGTAGAGATTATGTGAAGTGTCTTGCTTGTAGTGGGGGCAAGTAAACATTACCAGCTCAAGAGGGAAGTGCTATGTGCACCGCCCATTTGTAAGTTTGGTTGGGTCTGATGGCCACTGGGCCCTCTGCTTCCTTTAATCTCTTTACCACTTTAACTGAGATTTCCCTGGGCCTGAGACTGTTGGGAAGACCAGCTTTCCCTGGTCTTGGTTGCAGCCTTGTTTGCCTTGGTCTTCACTCTGGAGGCGTTCTGCTTTCTGTTCCACCTTTTGACAGAATGACTGTCAGTAATTGGTGACAGGGCAGGGGGGAGGTGAGCTGTTCCTGCCCTGCAAGAAAGGAGTTACCCTCACCAGGCACATCCCTCCTCTCTGGCACTGGGACCAGCGCTGTGCTTCTTGGCTCGCTGGCCAGACCCTTATCTCTCTTCTGCCGTACTACAATCTTCATCACTGCCTACTCATCCCTCTTCTGTCCTCCAGCCCCAATCCACATCACAGCCAAAACATAGCTGTGTTACTGGTGAGCTGACTCTGACTTAGGTGGCATTGTATGTAGCAGGATGAAATGCTTTATATTCTGACTCCTGCCATCTTCATGATTCTTGTGTGTGTGTTGTTTGTTGTGATTCTTGTGTCAGTCTTTCTCATGGAGGGTTTCCATTGTTATTGTCGACCCTCTGACCCTCTGTTTTATCTTTTTAGAGATTGGTCTTCCCTGATGACTTGTCCACAGTGAGCAAATCAAAGGCTGAATGCTAAGGAGTACTTTTTTGTATTTCTCCTAAAAATGTTTTGTTTATGCCTTCTGGTAGTCCCCAATGTTGCTATTTTATATTCATATTAATAACAACCCTGAAACATGTAGTTTGTGTCAGGCACTGTACCAAGATCATCACATCGATTCTATGTGCTAATCATTAATCATGGTCCTCATTCTATAGAGGTGAAAGCCGAAGCTTAGGGAGGCCATAGAAGCTGGCCAAATCAGACACCTTGCCATGAACTCTCCCTGCTCCCCACACTGGTGTTTCTCTTCAGGGCAGCACTTGAGCATAGCCTGCTATCTGTGCGTCTCTCCTACTTCATAAAGTACAGGGCAGATAGTGAGCACTCAGAAAACTTGTCAGACAAATGAACTGGCTCTATTGGAGACGGCTTGCAGAGCGTTTTCAAAAGCTCGTTTAGCTCTGCTGATGGACCGGTTCTTCCAGGGATGTTTGTAAGTGCTCAGGGTAGGGCTACTGGCTGAAATGGAGTGCCGCTAGCTTTCCTCCCAGAGTCCTTTTCACCAAATTGTCCTTTGAAGCGATACCTCCAAGCTTTTTATGGGACGCAACTATGTAAAAGCTGTTTACTTTAAAACTGGTTGAAGATTTTTCTGTATTCTTTTAATCCCACATTTTGCCTGAGTTTGCAAACCACTCCAAATTTAGTGGGCTAAAAGAAGGACAGTGTGTTACTTCTCACAGCTCTGCAGTTGGCGAGGCTGTTCCACTAGTCCCCCTGGGTTGACCTGTGCAACTGCAGTGAGCTGGTGGCTAGATTGGCTGCCTGCTCCAGATGGCGTCACTCCTATGCCCAGCAATTAGTGTTAATACTTGAGTGCTCCAGTCGTCTAGACCAGCTTCCTTAGAGCAGTACTCTATCAGGGGAACTCACAGTGAGCAAAGTTTTTATTGAGCTGCCCTGTTTGTAATGTCTAGTTGGTCAAAGCGAGTAATGTGGCTGCACCCAGAGCCATGAGGGAACTTTGACTTTACCGCTTTGTGGTAGGTGTGACAAGAAATGTGGCCGTGGTTTCAAAGTGTATTACTTTCATGACAAGTTTTAGAATTTAGCGCCAGAAATTTCATTTCTTAGAGTTCTTTGGACTTCATTTGGGTGATGAAAATGCAGTTAATTAGAACATAGACGCTGAAGTCAGATATGAGTTCCGATCTTGACTTGACTATTTACCGTTTTGCCTTTGGCGGGCTGCTGCATCCATTCTGTCACCTGTATAATCCGCATCATGGTATTTTCCTTGGTAAAGTTGTTATGGAGTTAAAAGGAGATATACATCGTCTCAGGCCCATGATTGATCCTCATTACTTTGTAATTCTTCCTATTACCATTTTTACTTTTGTTTCTCTGAAGTTCCAAGTCAAAATTCACATAGACCAAAGCACTTTGTTTTCTCTTTTCCTCATCCTTTATATACTATGTCTTTTGCCCTTCTGTTTACATTTTTATTGAACGCTAACAAAATCATGTTTGGAATAATGTAGGGCGGGGTCCTCAAACTTTTTAAACAGGGGGCCAGTTCACTGTCCCTCAGACCCATTGGA